CCCGCCGCTCCGTATTTCAACAAGGGGTTCAAATACACAAGCCTGACTGGGACATTTCCCATCCAAACCATGACAGCTGCCTCACACGATGCTTGGCCTACATGACAGAGGTATTGTTTGTAAACATGGTTGTAGCTGTAATCCACATAACACATACACACCATGCAGGTCATGTATTCATGTCTTTGCCTTTGCATTTATCCTTCATTGCTCACTTTTATAAATAAGAATTCTAATTGGGATTCTAGCTTCAGCTGTTGGCCACCGCTCTGAGATGCTAGCTCACATTTTTTCTCCCCTCTGTGCGCCTTTCATCTTGGGAAGATGTCTTTCTCTCTCATTTCTTCTCTACACCCTGATTGCTCAATTTTTACCTTTTTAGTTATCTTTTCTTTGCTGTTCCTATTTGTTTTACCTCTCGAGTATTTTCTGCTAAAATATACGTGTCACGTTTCAGTTTTCTGATTCTCAGGGACTACTGTAGGAATATTGTCTCTTGTCTGTGTTAACAAATCAGCTGGTATTGAAATGTTTACCCATGACGGACACTTAACATAAAGGTGATTTATTTGCTTATACCACCAAGAAGCACACCAACAGTATAATTTAGAAACATGTAGAACCTCACCTGCTAATTCAGACTCTGCATGAGGTGACCACGCCTTTTAGCTATCAACCTGGGGCTCCTAGCTAGCTGAAAAGTAATTCAGTTAAGGCAAGAGCACCCATCCTCAGATGCTTCCCCAATGGAGAATTTCCAGGGAGGTGCTGTTGGTTCAAATTTAAGCACATGTATTCCCCCTGAAGACATCCACCTGTCTGATGAGATAAATAGTCATTCTTATTGGCCAAATCATATACATGTGTCATGAAAAGGAGGAGAAAGTGTTTGACAATGACACCAGAGCCCAAAGTAGTGGCAGTTGGTTACTTCCTGGGGAGAAAAAAATGGGAACCACTGTTACTACTAGGAGATGTAAGATGTTGGCCATATGTTTTGCTTGTGTTCCTTTGCTGAGTTCCCTCCTTGAGAACCAGGGCAAGATGTCTATACTGGTTGTTTACAATTTAGAACGATCTCAGAAAGAAGCCATCTCAACGAGGGCTGCCTGAGAGGGCCAAAAGCAGTGATTTGGCCAAGTCTCTGTTTTATTTAAGATTTGCTGTCTGCCCTCTCACTAAATCCTCCACACTTCTTAAGGTGTAAATTGATCCCTGTTTTCAGCAATGCCACCTTCTGAGAAATCAAGACGTCAGTGAGGTTCACAGTGAAACAACTTAAGTCTCCGGACTCTCTGCTCACTGGGAATATCTCTAACCATTACCTCAACATACCTGAATGACTTTTCCCTTGCATGTACCTATTATCTTAAGAGGAATCCATTTGTGTAGCTGCATCCTCCCCCACTTCTCATGTTCCATCTCGTCTGAGATTGGGAGGCATTCAGAGAGAGACAAGTCATTTCATGGTCTGAAGCATGTATTGGTTTCAGTTCTTCCTCGTGCCTTGTTCTAAATTTGCTACATTAGACCATGTATTGGCTATGTGCTGCTGTGTCACACATGACTCTCAAGCTCAGAGGCTTGGCACAGTCAGGAGTTTGGGAGTGCCACAATGGTAAATCAAAATATATGTCGATTATGCAGCGATTTAAAGACAATGCGTCAGTTCTCTCCCAAGGCTTTGGGCAGGAGGCCTTTGACCTCATCACTGTTTTTTTGGTACTTGAATTTCCCTCGCTATTGAACTAAGAACACTAGCTAGAAACAACACTCTCTTCAGAAATCATAATCCACGATTTCTGCGGATGGTGTTCTTGACACTTGCCAGCTCTGTTCCAAGAAGGCTAGGCTGCTAATCAGCACACAAGCAGTCAGTCACCCTAAACACTGACTAGAGAAGGGGCTACATGAATGGCTCAGTGGTCAAGAGTGCTTGCTACTCTTGCACAGGACCTGAGTTCAGTTCTGGGCACCCACATGATAGTTCACAACTGTTTATAACTCTAATTTCCAGGGATCTAAAGACCTCTTTCCGCCTCCCTGAGCACCACGTATGCACGTGGTACACAAATACAGACATATATGCAGGCAAAATGTTCATACACATAAAGAGTATATTAATTAAATTTAAAGAATACTGACTCCCAGTGGTAGATAATATCCACGATTTAATATCAGAAAAGGTGGTCTGATGACTTCTTGCCACCTTTAACTCCAGCTCCAGGGGATTCTGGTCTTTTGGCCTCTTTGGGTACCTACATACTTGTAGCGTATGCTCACACAAATAACATTTTTAAAAATTTTAAAAAGAAGTGGCAGGCAGTATCATCCAAATTCATAGGTAAACATGATGCATATCTTCAAGATAATTAAAACTGATTTACTGTAAAATCTGCACCAGTGCATGGGAACTGGTGCCTGTAAAAGCAGATTCCTAGCACAGCCTAAGAACAGCCCTGTTTGGAGTCGACTCTCACAGTTCCTCCACAGCAGAGGAGCGCGTCTCCTGCCCAGTTTCCTCGCCTTCCTGCTTCCAATCAAATCTGGTGGGTGTGGAACCTGGACCGTTTGCTCCCCAAGGCTGGAGGTGAGAAGCGATACCTCCCCGCTGAGATAAGGTGGGTTCCCTTTCAGGACTGAGGGTCTAGACACTTAGAGGGATTGGCATATGTTACCTCAAACATCTATTTGATGGGTTTCCAGTTGGCTGTTGCAACGGGAGGTCTCGGCAGATGCAGGAAGACCTCTGAAGAGCTGTCCTTTCTAAGAAGAAAGATAAACATCTCTAGTGCAGTGACAGGGCCTTTGCTGGTGATATCCTCCCAGTTTAGTGACAACTTTGTACCCACAGAAGACTAGACGGAGTAGAGATCTGACACCTGGCTTTGTTAGAGATGACCCCAGGTGGCTGTCACCTGGGGGCTTAGCTCCGTCCGTCACAAGACAACCCTTGAGGCTGTCCACCTCCTTCCCCTCGCTTCTCATGACCTATGTCCTACCACCAGCAGCTCTGACCTCTGTCCCTTAGTTTATCTCTCTCTAATGACCAGCTACCCTGTTCCCTGTGGGCCTCCACTTCCTCTGTGGCTCCCATACATAGGCACGTTGACCACTGCAAGTTCTTCTGGTTTATCGATGTATTGTCAGAAGTCTATTGAAATTTCAGAAGGAAAAGAGAAACTATAAGAGTTCCTGGCACCAGTGCCTACCAGACTATTCCCTTTACCCTCATATCTGACCCTGTACACCAACCTCGGGCACAAATTGTGAGGCTGCCTCTCTCAGCATTTTCCTGTCCCTTGGCACCCAGCTCCGTGCCCCTGGTGCCTCCTCTGTATGCTTTCCTGCCATTATCTTGTTTTCAGCCAGCTGCCATTAGCTCTCGACACACTTTCTGGGGTATTACCCAGCGGGTTACACTGATCTCACTTGGGGCCATTGTAATTTAATAGTGCTTACTTCAGACACATCTTCAGCACCCCAAAATAACACATTCTACAAGGGAATGTTATCCATGTGGCCCCTTCTGGCAGGACCCACCACATCCCTGCTTCCAAGTTCAGCCGACTTTGGGAACTCGATCTTCATCCCTTCTCCATTACCACCACACTCACAGCCTGGTTTCCAAACCAAAGTTCACCCGCATTTCCCTTCCAGACTACCTCAGTGTGCCGTCCTTCTGCCAGACCCACCATGCCCCGCTCTGACGACACCTCCTCTACTCAGCTCTGCCTCCTTCAAGCTGTGCTTTCCTGTCCCACCTTGTCTGACTTCCCTGAATTTCAATATTTGACCCATTCTCTAAGTTTGGGGAAGACCGTCTCCAGATTCGCTCAGGCCAGTCTCACGTCCCTCCCAGTACCTAACACCTTCCCCTTCCCCATTGACTTTGAATAGAGCACATGGGCACTGTGCCTTCTTGGGGGCACCACACCTTCTCGAGGGCAGTCACTGGCTTTGATGCAAATGGGAATATTTGTTTCTCAGCCAAAGCTTTGATATTTTGACATCCAGTTGTTTGCTAACTTAAAAGAGACATACTTTGGGCTAGAGAGATGGGTAAAGTATCTGCTGCAAAACCACGAGAACCTGAGTTTGGATACCCAGCACCTATGTAAATATCCAGGCAGAGTTACACATCTATAAACAAGAGGCTGGGAGATAGAGGCGGGACTGTCCCTAAAGCTTGCTGGCCCATCAGTCTAGAAAACACACTGAGCTTCAGATTCATTGAGAGTCTGTCTCAAGATGAAGTCGACAGAAAAAGAGGAAAAAGTCAGATACTGGCCTCTGGCCTCTGAGCACATGCATATACGTGCACACAAACACGTGTATATGTAACAGTGACACTTAGCTGGACTTATTGACTCAGGTCTGTAATCCTAGTTAAATGAGAGGCTGAGGCAGAAAAGACCACATGTTTTGAGGCCTACCTATGCGATAGTGAGGTCAGGGACAGCCTGGGGAACTTTAGTTAAACCTCGTGCTAAAATTTTGCACAGAAAGGTCTAAGCATATGGCTATGTGGTAAAACACTTGATTGGTATTCATGAGGCTCAACCCCCAGTATGACAAGAGAGAGCTTGCAAGCTGCTTAAACTTCCCTGAGCCTCTATTTCCTCCAGTGGGGGTGTGCTCAGTTCATTCCCAACAACACAGTGTTATGTGAGCTATGCTACAGATGTCGAGACCTAATCTCTCCAAAGAAAAGGACTAACATTTTCTTCAGGGTGAGATAAGAAGAGTGGGTTGTTTTCGCAAGCACTGTTGACTTATGTTTGTGCAAAATCAAGGAACATTCCCACCTTTGCTGACTCATGTGGCCGAGAGCAGGAGTTTGCGTTCCGACCTGAGACGGGGTAAAAGAGATGCTCTCCAGGCCCTTCAAGGTGGAACGCTATGCCCACTGTTACTCCAGGAGCCCTCCTTCCAGCTCACCACTCCCTCTGCAGATGGAAACAGTTGTTGATGAATTTCTGGGGCTAGGGGTTGCTTACCAAGGCACTGGGGACATCATCACACATGTCTTGTTCCTTGCCTTTGTTAATCATTGCAGCGGAAACCTAGGAGGGACCCTAAAGGACATGTGAAGAGGAGAAGGACAATGACTCACTCAGACAAAGTGGGTTGCGAGGCTTCCTGTCCTATCCAGCCCCCAGGAGTCCTAGGGAATACCTGTCTCCAAGCCAGTAATCTTAGGCATTGCCTCTTCTTTCCCCTAACCATGCTCAGCTTGTGAGCTGCACGCTGGGGATGCCAGGCTCAGATCCCTGACCTCGCTGTGACCCAAACCTTACCTGATGCTGTAGGAGAGTCTGGCAACATCTCCCAGCTGCCCTTTCCTCCAGACAACTGCCTCTGAGGACAAGAACCACGTCACTTGGGAAAAACATTCTCTGTGGAAATGTGTAGCCAGTGACGGGCAGACAGGAGCTATAAGAGCCAAGTTCCTTGCCTAGAAAACAGAGCTATTGTGCAAGGCACACACTCTAAAACCTCCTTCCACGGATCAGAGCATAGCTCAGCCACAGCCTCCCCTGTCCTATCTCGAGCTCTGACTAAGACACACAGCCTGCTTCATCTCCTCTCTGGCAGTCTCTGTAGAAAAGCCATTTTAGCCACAGTGCAGGCTGAGTGTCTGCACAGCCTCCATGGGGAGTCGTATCACTTAGTTTCTGATGGCTGGTCCCAGATAGCTGGCAAGAAGCCTGTAAGGGAGGAGAGTTTGTTGTGGCTTACAGTCTGAGGGGAAGGAAGGACAACAGGGGTGTGAGACAGCTAGCTAGCTGGTCACATTGTATTTACAATCAGGAAGCAGGGAGCAGAAGGGAAGTAGGATCCAGGCTTTGAACCCTCAAATCACTCCTTGATAAGGTGACCCACTTTCTGCAGCCATAGGCCACCTCCTAAAAGTTCCAGAGCCTTCTAAAATACCACTGCCAGGTAGAGGACTGTGAACTAAAACATATGGGGGACATTTCATAGTCTAACCATAGAGGGGTTTTATGCAATCCTGGCACGCTCTTGTGTGGTTGAGTTATATTTGAAGGCTGACTGTCCTGCCGCAGCTTCCAGAGCAAAAGCTGGAAGTGAGATGCTGGGTTCCACAAGAGGAAACTGAGTTAGCCCTTCTTCCAAAAGTCACTTTATCAAGAATAAGGCTGTTTACAGCTCTGCCAAACAGGGGAAGGGGCCAGATAAACCTTAAAGTCCCTTTCTATTTTTTCATCCTAGGATTTTATGACTGCATCTTCTTCTCTTTCCATTTTGCTTCAGGAGAGATGTGTGCACTTAAACTGAGTGACTCCCACCCTGTCTCCACAGCAAGGAAGCCACACACGCGTTTGGGGGTGTTTATTCAGCACAGAGTGCATTCAAAGAGCCGCTTTTGAATAAAAACGGTCCAAGCACCTACTTTTTGGTGGGAAGCTGGCAGCAGGGCTCGCTCATTTCACTCTGGCAACCACTCAACATCCGCTCTTCTTGGCTCTCTGCATTCATAAACTGATGTGAGAGTCTGCTGAAAAAGACAAAACCTGCTCAGATCAGTGCAGAACTCATTTGTAAAAAGGAGAGCGCTTGTTGAATCCATCGTAAGCCACATTGTTCATTTGAGGAGTGGGGAGTTCTCTTGCCTTGCCTTTTAACTTCAAAATGCCTTTGCATCCAGTCCTTGATCTGCTTTTCCTGACGGTCTTGTAAGACAGTATTTTTTTTTTCTATTTAGAGAATGAAGAAACTAAGTCAGAGTGTGGGTGTGTGACTTGATTTTAAAGTGACAGAGAATTGATGTCACAAGCGGGCCTGGAGCACAATGCTCACTTAGTTCTAAGCTGCCAGAATTCGAGCCTGTTACATGTCACTTCAAGGCAGCCTAGAGGTGGCATATTTTCTATGCTACTGGTTCCTCACATGGTAGATTGTTGTTACACAGAAAGGAATGGTATATGATGAAACCTTTCAGGAGACACTGGATTATGTAGAGTTCTTTAAAATAAGGCACCATTGGAGCTGGAGAGAAGACGGCACAGCAGTAAAGAGTGCCTGATGGTCTTGGAGGAGACATAAGTTTGGTACCCATGTCAGACACCTCTAACCAGCTGTAACTCCAGTTTGAGAGAATCTGATACCTCTGGTCTCTGTGGGCACCTGCACATATACGTGCACACCCAAACACACACACACACACACACACACACACACACACACACACACACAAATAAATTTAAAATACTTTTAAAATGATGCAACTTGGAGCCTTGTCCCTGAAGTGTTCTCATCAAGGCACTGTGTGCATCCTTCTCCCCACACCTCTGACTTCCAGACCACATTGCATCCTGGAAAGGATTGCCAGAGTCAGGCTTATTGGTATTTATGATAATCATGGTTTGACTAATTGAATGATTTCTGGCCCCAGATGGACAGAGCCTACTTAGTCCAATTACTTCAGCAATTCAGTGGTCTAATAAGCATGTTTACAGGCTGGGTTGTGGACATGCATGGGTACCGGCAAGCCCTGCCTGGCTGCAGTGTTAGGTGTGTGATCTCTAGGTATTTTGGCTTTGAAAAGGGTATTCACAAAGGACTTACAATCACTCCAAGCTCGTCTTGGCAGAGTTTCCAGGAAGCTGAATGGGCTTGGTAACGTTCAACAGTCTGGATTGTCAAGGTACACCAGTTTTGATACAGATTGCACTGTTCGTGTTCAGCCTTATTCATGCTTTCTCTTAAGCAGCTCCACAGCCCTCCGGCCATCTTTAAGTACTCATTTCTCCACATATAACAAAATTCCAACTCTAACCATCATCTCCACAGATGGTACAATTCTTACAATTAAATTCTGCGCGCTTATGTTGGGATCGGGCCATGGATCTTACCTGATCACTGCCCTAGAACTTGATTCTGCTCAAATTTGGCCATGAAATTGCCGGTTATCGCTGGTACCAGTGAGGTACACCTGGTGAGCAGAGGCGGAAACAGAGAGACATAAACAGGTAAACTGACCCTTCTCCCTGATTGGTCTACAGGGCAGGGGGCTCTCTTAACAACCACAGAGCTCTGCAAGCAGCCAACTGTTTTTCTTTTCGAACCTGTGGCTGGCACAGGAGCCAGTGCCTTTCATGTGCTTTGCCAGTTCTTTGAGACACTCTTCATATGCCCTGGTCCACCTCAGTGAAACACCAGCATTTCAACCCTGCCTTAGGTGTGTTCTAGGGGATCTGATCTATTGTTCTATGTATAGTCAAGGGTTTCGCCCATTGTTTAGGAAGTCATAACAAATAAACAACGAGCCTTACCCTGCCAGTTCCTCATATGTCACCTCTCAGTGCCCAGTTGAATATTCAGGTCTGTCTCTTGTGGGTTTTTTCTTTTAGACAGAATCTTACTATGCAGTCCATTCCAGCCTGGAATTTGAGACCCTTCTGTTTTAGCTAGCTGCTGGGATTGAAGCTATGTGCCACCACACCTGGGCCCACTGGATGATGAGAAAATGGTGATAGCTTCATGCTTATAACCTTTTGTTATAGGACCTGTGGGTCCGGAACCAGATCCGTTCCTAAGTCTTTTGTATAGATGGCTGATGTAGGAAGAGTTCGTCAGAAAAATAATTACACTGTAGACAAATATTGCTGGATTTCATCACCTATGGAGCATGAGTAGCCCATGATCACCATCTGCCCAGATCTTATTTAAAGGATGATCTGATGATGATTACTGCCCTAGAACTTGATTTGCTGAAATTTTGGACATGAAATTGCCCGTTATTACTGGAAATGACAAACACATACATTTTGTGGAAGACAGACATTATAATAAAAAGAGGGGAAAAGATATACTAGCTTAATTGTAAGTTTTAATAGCGAGATTGGAAAAAAAAACCTGGCTAAGTTCTTATTTCACCAAAGTCTCATATAAAGCTATATTTTTCATCTTTTTTTTTCTTGTGGCAAAGATAATATATGGGCCCCTGGATCAGACATGAGGCATTTTCAAAGCCTCATCTAGAGAGATGTTTCTATAAGCATAAATCCCTGTTACAAAAAGTACTTAGCAATGTAAGTCCCCTCTTCTGAAGAGGACTGTCCATCACATATATCACACTGAACAGGATACGCTTGCTGTAATAACAAGCAGGCAGCTCCCCCTGCATCTTACAACAGTGATAACTTTCTTGTCACTTCCTCTGCATGCCCATCCAAGGTAGGCAGCAAAAGACTGTTCTAAGTCACCCTCAAGCTGGGAACAGACATCATCTGGACCACGGCCAGCCACACACGCGGTAAGAAGTGTGAATTTTATGGTAACTCTTACAGCTCAAACAAGAAAAGAAGACAGCACTTTTTTCCCTCACTTCCTTTCACTGAGCTTGAGAGTCCAGTATTCCAATCCCTTAACAACTTACTCTAAAGGTGACCGATAGTTTATCTGCTGAAGATTCTCAGGAAGAAACACCTGAAGACCTGCTTTTAGTTCTAATGATCATGGCCCTCACTGTCAAAGAACCAAACCGAGTCTTGGTTCAACACATTTCTCTACTTGCAACATTGCTCAACTGAGATCCTCTGATATTGGAAAATAGTGTTGCCACATGCACTCCCTCCCTCCCTCCCTCCCTCCCTCCCTCCCTCCTTCCCTCCCTCCTCTCTTCCTTGCTCTCTCCCTCTTGATGCCTTCCCAAGCCACCAGGCACAAATGCTTGCTTAAAATGCTGTTCCCTGCATTGAGTAGCCTGGGGGAGAAGAGGGAGAAACCTTCCAGGACCACTCTGGCAACAAAAATGATCTTCAGAGAGCAGCCCTGGCGTTATGTGCCACAGTGATGAAGGCTCATGTCTCTGCAGAACCTGCGACAGAATGAGTTCCCTGATGAGTTGGCATTCAGAAAGCCTTGCATTCTGATTCGCTGGGTTGCTCTGCAAACCTTTCTAAATGCAACCCCCAAGTTCTCTGCAGACAGCATCCTGTCAACCTGGGAGTTGGCTTGTTTTCTGTGATGCTTTCTTAGCAAGGGGGGAAAAGCCTTTTCCCAGGAGTTTCTTTGACTGGTTCCTATAAATCAGAGTTGAAAGACATTGTGGCTAGAAGCCTTTTAAAGAAATGTCTGGTCTTTCTTCTCTAGGCTTTTAAAAGACCACATCTTCAGAAGCCATTTTCTTTATCTATCTAGGGCTAAGTTGAGCATCCTATAGAGCAGAGAGAGGAGAATTTCTAAAAAGAAAGAAAGGAAGGGAAGAACATATCATGGGGAGTTTTTAGGTGTGGGAACCCTGGAGCTTTGATGTTGGGTACATTTTTATCATTCTATAGCTGTCTCGGCTTCCTCCACCCCATTAAGTGGGGCGGAGGACAAAAGCATGGTTTCTTCCTTCTCCTTTGAGATCATTCCCCCCATTACGGTGCCCCTGTACCTGGAGGTCAGTGCATTAGCACCACCAAGCCCCCCAAAGGTCTTAGTTCTCTACTCAGAACCTCTCTGACTGATTGGAGAGCAGGCTACACTTAATGAGACAAGTTCTCCTTAGAGACTCCTCTCCCCTCTAGGAATTCTGTAAGTGCTTTATATAAAACAGTAATAGGATGGTTCGGCCAGACTCTCTGGCTCAGATACACTAAGGGGTGTTCCCTTTGGGAGGCAGAAGCAGGTAGCCAAGTGATAAGGCCATTAGGGCCGGCTGTGCCCTGTGAGCTGCTAATCCCAGAAGCGGCTAGCAAGCATGAAAGGGAGTCGGTGAAAGGCTCATCAGACTTCCTGGTGGGTTATAGTGTTGTCTATGGGCAGAGTCTGGACCATAATGAGCTGGGAGTGATTTAGGGCCATGATTACTACTAAGCAGGGGGGAGAAGCTCAGGGGAGCTGCAGAGGTGTGATGGGCGAGATGTCATGCTGGCCCCACATTGATGAATTGCCCACCCTCTCCAGGAGCCAAGGGAATCCTCTGGGAAGCCTTAGCAACAGTTCCTGGAACTCATGGATGCTGCAGTCAAGAGGAAAATCCCATGAGTGGAGAGAGAATTCTTCTCTTTCCATGCCTCCTTCGCCTTTGTCTTCTGAATTCATGGGGGCTTTGGGGTGAGGGGGTTTTCAACTTTCAACTCCATGTTTTGCGAGCATCTGAGTCTATCTGTTTTCAGTTCTTTTTAATCATAGATTGAGTGTGGTGCTGAGATTTATTAATGGAAGGTCAACAGTTCCGAGTCAGTGTGGGAAGAAGGCAATTAAACTGAGTGGTGTCGAAATATGATAGGGGTGGGCCTGGGCCTTAGAAGGCAAATATGATACGGGTGGGCCTGGGGCTTAGAAGGCAAATTATCCGAGACAACAAAGAGGGTCCAAACAGACTTAGGAGATTGTATTTTTCCTTTCTTTCTGCACAAATCAGAACTTCTATTCAGTCACTGGGATGATTATAAGACATATCTATAATTCACCCCCCCCC